AAAAAAAAAAGAGACACAAGAACAACAAAAAATGTAAGGTTCAAGCGCCAAAACAATTCTTTACTTTGCAATTTGTTTCTTTTCACAGTTCAGACACTGAATACTCAGATTTCCTAACTCTCTAATATCCCAACGATAACTCTCATTCACCCGTTATAACAAAGACTTCAAAACTTGCAATTACCAAAACAACCCAATTATTAGACCCTAAACTATAAAACCTACAAACAGACGCCCAACTCCTAACTAAAACCAAATTTCCCAGCTAAATTTAAGCTCCAAGAGTAAACACCTCCTATTAATTACTCTGTAAAACTAACACTCCATTTCTTGATAGAAATGTTCAGCCGAGTTTTCGTGGGGAGTTTGAGTGGCGGCTTATTCAATGCAACCAAATGAGGACTGATTTTACGTTTCCCACTTGTTCTCTTTCTTGGTAAGTTTTCCTGAAAAAGACTGGGAAAGTGACCTGATATCACGAGAAACGAATAATGCAAAAAACACAAAAAAAAATAAATCAAATATAAAAAAAATAATAAATCAAAAAGAAGCGAATATAACAAAAGCAAATAATAAACTTAAAATCTTACGTTATTCCCTTCATTGCTCAGGTTTCTTAGAGTAATCGGTTTAGAACAAGAACGATTCAAAGTACTGGTCCCAACCAGACGAGCAGGAAAAACAGTAGGACTGTTGAAACCAAAGTCCCGAGCATTAGGACCGAAAAAGGAAAAGTAAAACAAAGTGCACAAAAACATAATTTTGTTTCTCGAGCAGTAACCAAAAAAATAAGCCAAAGACTTGTTGTACATGAATCCAGGGTAAGATGGCCTTCTTAGATATGTGGAGTATGAGACCGAATTAAAATAAGGCGAGTAGGGCGAGTCAGAAGTAAAAAGTTAACCACCAACCGACCCCTTATCCTTCGCATATGTTCGTTTCATTTATCAAAAAAAGTTATTTTTCAAGTGTTTTAACAACACTACATCCTCACCAAAACAGCACTTTAAACACTCTTCTACAAGAACAAAATTGCTCGATGCTAAAAAAGTTTACGAATAAAAAATTGTACGAAACGAACTTCAGACAATAACTTCCAAAGAATCTTACACTCGACAAATTTTACACGGGTATGCGAAAAGAAAATGAAGAAAATAATTTAAAACGTTGAAAAAATGAAGATACAAAACATCACATTATACCTATCAAGTCACTTTCGCTGTAAGCTACAACACTAGCGCTCGTCGCTATTGAAGAAACTACATGTATCGACAAATCCTAAAAAGTGCGAAATATAGTCAAGTGCTAAAAAATGCCTTGTCTTTCCCAAATGAGCCAAGCATTTGAGCCTCCTTGCAAGTGACACCTGATCACAACTTCGTAGAAAGTAAAATCGGTAATTCAGAAAATAAGGAAAACGAATTTGGAAAAAAAAAGACCCAATTTCATTAGTCCCTGAAATCGCCGGAAAGAAAGTAGAATATAGTTAATAAGAGCCTCTATATTAAAAAACAAAAGGTATAAAGGTTCAATATTTAACATTATCGCTGTGGTAATGCTGTCTGCCATTTGGTGAAGTTGTTTCACTCGGACCACTACGTTCGTTCCCAGGCTCTTCCGTAAGCATTTCAACATCATCAGCTAGGCCAATACCTCGATTCTCGTCTCTTAAAAATGGGGGAGGTTCCATTCGTGCTGCTTCCGTCGCAAACTGCAAACTTCTCCTTGCCGAAGCGGTCGAATTCAAACAGTCAACGTTTGAATCTAAAGACAATGTCAAGTTGAAAAAGCCACTCAAACTCAACATTCAAGTCAAGATATAATTCGAAGCAGTAAAATAATAGGAAATAGAGGGAAGTGGCGGCAGCCGTTTAAAAACCTTTATAAACCGTCTCTAAAATTCTAAACTCAATAATTTCAAAGAAAATAACAGCAAAGAAATGTTACCATTGCCAGAAGAGGCATACTGTCCTTCCGCATTCCCACCTCTTCGCCTATCACTGGATTGTCTCCTGGCTCTACAAACCCAGCTTTCAATTTCGTCAGACGTACTGTCTTCATCGTCGCCCTCCAAAACAGGAATAGCAGTCCGTTTCTAGTGGCGCCATTTTACAAAAGTATAGCAACAAAACAGAAACGAATGGTTGTTCAACATATGACATTGCAATACCCTTACATACTACATAACCAAACAACGCTCATTACGCAAAACAGACGACAGTTTGGATAAAGAATAATTTTAGCAAAGCGACACTTACGTTCCATGAATCTTGCGAATGCCCATTTCCTCTAAAACTACCTGGAACTGGTGAAACGTCTGATGACAATGACTCCATCACGTCGCTACCATTCTCCCAGGCTTCAGGACGCAAATGACTTGAACTCGCCTCATCATCCGCCACTTCTGCACATGCAGTGATAGAGTCCAGCACAAAGGGGACAGGAGAACTACAAATTTAGTAGCCTACACTCAATTCTGCTTCTTCCCATTCTTTAAAAAAAAAAAAACATGGAAACGTTACTTTCACGGCGCACTAAAAACATTTAAAATGCACATTTTAAAAAATATGGAACCTTTATTGCACTTCTATACAGCAAAAACCCTCTCCTACTTCAACTAATTTTCATACTTTTGTGCCTTGCTTTCCAGGAATATAGAAATAAGTCTTCATGTCACATGCATAGAATAAGAACTGTTCAAAGCCTTCGGGAACAGAGAAAATGGCCAAGAACAGACCTGTTTTCAAGTGAATGTCAAAACCATGCAAATCCATTCTTATTAAACACGTCGCTCACTGGCGAATTGAAGACCGCCAAATAACTTTAACCAACTTTTAATGCAAGGAATAAACTAGAATATCATCTCTCCCTGACCAACAGACCAAACCAGTGCCAAAAAAGCAGAATACAAAAGAAAAAAGTTCAAAACTTGCCCATGAAAACAAACTTGCTGAGAACCACTTCTCTAATTAAACCTACTAAACTGCGCCCTATCATCATATAGACAATACAGCAACACAGAAAATAATGCATACAGCTTCACCAACAAAGAATTTAAGGCTACAGTCTTTCTTCTTAAGTAGTTTTCATTACACCTCGATTGTTAAAGGCCCTTTCCCATCACACCGCCGACAGAATTAAAGAACTCCCTCCATTCCTCTGACCAATTATTATCAACTACCAGAGATAACTGGGCTGTATTCGACACCCTTGTCACTCACAACGAGATATCGGCACCAGTAAAAAGCGACCGGAAATGGCAACACGGCGTGGTGTTTTGATCAATGATAATCAAATCCCGACGTTACTGTGATCGACTCTAGCATGAACCGGAGATAAAACAGTTCATTTGCACATAATATTCATTTCAGAAACCATTTTCTATTCGCACTACGATGTAGAAAGTTATGTAACAACCCAACTAGGCAACCAGAAATTTACCAGTAACGTAAACACGACATCTGGTTAACAACACCTGAACTCCGCTTCTATATGAACCTGAAACCTATCAAAAACGCTATTATTTCTAAAAAAAATGAAGCCTGGATCTAATAAACCTTCTCAATTCACAGCAAACAAATTGCAGCCACTTAGTAAATTAGGAACTATCCCCAACTTTCATTAATATACCAAAATAATAATGAATCAATTGACAACGAGCAAAGAAACCAAAAATCATCTGAAAATATACAAAATGTTCTTGACTCCGCAAACAGAACAGAATCAAGGAGAAAAATCCAAATGGCCATGTAACTGGTATCCCAGACCGTTCAGCTTAATGTACTTTATGGTGCCTAAAATAAGGCACAGCAGCAGACACCACAAACTAACTTCTGTCTCAAGTAAAGACAGAATTTTCTAAAATTTCCTTCAATGAAGCAGAGACTCAGTTTTTGAAGACTTACTGACAGTACACTCTTAGAACAAGCACGCAAGCTCTTGCAACTAACTTCTCACATTTCCTCTCGTCAACAAACAACTTTCCATTGAGACCCTGGTTATCAAGCTCGTTAGTGAAAAAGATTTTTGAACATTTTGAAACAAAAATAGTGTAAATCTAAAGCAGAAGCTCTAATCAAAATAAATAAAGATAACCAATGATAAACTTGTACATCCCCAAAATGCACAAAAGAGAAGGCAGGAAAAATAACTTTAACACTCAACTGTCTGCGATCTTGTAGTCATTAGTGCTGTTCAGTAAATGTACCCCCCTCCTTGCCATAAAAAAAAATCAAACAATCTATCAACGAACCTTCCAGAAAAACCAAATTAGGCCAAGAAAATTTACCAATATATTTAGACTAATCAAAACAATGAATCTACGAATGACCAACGCCAAGTTAAGACGTCAGAAAAGAGCCACAGAAAAAACACAATTTTTACTAGCATACGTTTCATGAGTGCGGAAATGAGCCTCCTCAGACATGACTGGCTTTCGGAAGTTTCGAAAAAGCCTGAAAAAAAACAACTTCAAACTTATTGAATGAGTGTAAATGACTCAATCTGTTAGAAGACCAACTGTTCTGTAATTTTTAATATGAAAGAGCTGTAGTAATAAGGTTAAGAGGATCCTTACCCCTCGCTTAGAAAAACAAGTTATTGCTTCACTGGGAGCTTTAAAGGATACACCGCTCTCTATTAAGCCAATGCAGACGGCAAGCTGAGAAGGAGTAAGGTGAACGTTCAGAATTTGAGATAACTGATGCACCGCTAAAACATAAAAATTTTTTTAAACAGAAAAATAATTAAGCAAATATTTCTTGACGGGTCTCAGTAAGTTTAATGATAAAAGCAGCAAAGAAACCTTCAGTACGCCCAGTAGTCAAAACTTTATATAAAGTTCGAGTAAGGCAGCCGTTAAGAAATTGGCCGACACATGCCATCAAATTGATCAAATTCTATTTCTTTTCTTACTATACAAAAATGTTTAATTATGCTAGAATACTTACCCTCAATCGTTTTTTCTGACACGCGAATGTTTTCTTTTATACTTGACGACGATGGTTCCATAAAAAATCCTAAAAAGCAAAATAATAAATTAAATGCGCTCAACACGACTGCTGTCTAACGACACGTAGGACAAAATAACGTAAGTTCAGTCCCAATTAGTTAATCGAAAAACAAATAAACCTATGAAAAATTTCAAAAACGAAGAAGTATTTCCAATCTATAACAAGAATTGAGCAATCTAACAAACTTCAATTATCACGAAGTAACACTGCTACGCGAATACTTTGAGCAAAGTGAACCTTCCGTTATCTTGGAGAATCCCTCAAACGACACCAGCTGGTGAAAGTCAGATAACCATCAGCTCAAAAATTCACAGTTCCAAGATATCCCTTCAAGAACTTTTTACTGAGCATTTCTGTCTTGCGTAACATTATTCTTATGGCTTCCATAAGCTGCTCATTCTTTTTACAAAGTTTTTCCAGTTAGAAGACCAACTGTTATGGAACTCCACTTTGAAAACGTTCTGATAAAAAAGGGTACGGATAAACGAGAAAAAAACTTTTGGATATAACAATGAAATGAGTTCAGTTTAACGACGCTATTGCAGTTCACTGTGCTCACATCCATGCCTACTCTTCTGACCGGCGTCCTACATTTAATTTTCCATATAAGGTCCTTGATCCCAACTGATTCATTTTTGATGCTTTCACACTTTTCTGTTTACTTATTACTAACTTTTTAAAGGTCCACTGCTAAAGATTCAGTTGAAATTTTATTGCGCTTTACAAGGAGCTTTCTACGTCCCTCAGTGTGTAACAGATACTAGCCATGTTTTTCAGCCGAATGATAATTGCAATAAAGATTGAACCACGTTCTTTGATTGTATGACTTTAAGTAGTTGTGCACCCATTTCACTTTTGAAAACCTTGTTGAATTTTTTGTTACCGAATGCTGTCATAGCGAACATTTTGGCGTTTAAACGAACACAACTACAGAGCTAAATAAAAAACAGCAAAAATCATGGGAAAAGTGAAGGATTTTGACGCATCTACATAAAAACACTTGTTTCTGAAAGGGCTTCTCAACAACTCTGGTCATCAGACACGGTGAATCAATAAGTTCCATGTGGGCATTTAAAATGCTGGTACTCCATAAATAATTTGAGCGGATCAGAAAATGGCCAGTAGTCGTGAGTAGAAGATTTGCATTAGGGTGGGATAGAGAAGGAAGAGAAGCGAGGGTGAGCGGGTGGATATATATATGTAAATTTATATTACTAAGATTAGGGTTCCAGGATGCACTTGCTATCTACTACAGCATAAGCCAAAATCACGCGGACGTTGTGAAAACGCAAAAAAATTAAAACGAAACAATGGCACTGACCCATCAGAAAGTTAGCAAAAAGTGCTTAGTCAGTCGTGAAAGTAACGGAAATGCATTACGTGGGTTCGAGAAAAAAAATATAAAAAGTGAACGTAATTTTAACTGCAACAGCGCTCAGTATAAGAAATAAGAATGCTGGTTCAACAAGAGATTCTCTTCAGTTACCGATACAAAAAAAGGAGCTTTTTCTTCCTTCCCTTTTTCTTCACGTCATTCCTAGTAAAAAGTGAAACATTATACTTTTCTTGAGGAAATGATAACAATCTAGCTAAAAGGAAAAGAAAAAATAAAAATAGATAGAAAGAGGTAAACTTCGTGTGAATCTTGTAGTGACTCCGGATAACATAGATGAGGAAGTGTATACATTTGAATGCTTGTACGAATGCGAGTAGCAAGAGCAAAGCGCACAAACTTTCAACAAACAAATTTTCTCGCTCCAACTTCACATCAATTTTTGAACGTTCTAAGGAGGGACCAGCGGCCCAACTGGCGCCATTATTAAAAAAAATTGGCGCGAATTTCGACTTGACAACCGAAGGAAGACGGTGAACTTAGAACGGAACTAGAGGTGGTAACGAGACAAAGCCGCAAATTACTCAGAGATTCCAGCCAATCCATCTGCAGTGGAAAATGATTGTAAGGAATTTTAGAAACATCCCAGTAATAGATTTCTTTTGAGCAGAAAAAAAAAAAAAAAAAACAGCATCCCGAAGTCACAAAGTTCCTGGTGTCAAAAGAAATCAACAACTACGGGATCGTCTAACACTAAAACTTTGTGGCTTCGGGATGCTGTTTTTTTACATAACAGAAAATTATTACTTGGAAAAAAAACTTATGACTTAAAAAAGAGAGAATCCAACTACTTGAAAAAAAAAAGAACGTACTACTTTAAAAAACCCTGTTACTTGAATAAGAACTTATCATTTGGTTAGTGGAGTTTTCTGACACCCGACATCTTCCATTGTCGTAATTGTTTGGCGGGAGACATCCCGGGTCATACAGTTTTGCCAAGGTACACCACATTGCGGTTCCTCCATTCGCTTCAGTTTTTTCTTTCTAACTGTTGAAATCTTATTCCTTTCACTCTTCTTCTTTTCCTTTTCGTATAACTACTTAGGAATAAAACAAGTTTCCAATCTTTCTCCTCATCATTACTTCCAGTTTTAGTTCAATATTT